ATGTGGAGTGTGTTGGGGATGGAAACTGGTTTAACTCCCAGTTTGGGAGGGTTTAGGGGAGTTAACTCTGGCACGAACTGGGATGAATGTGGATTGGGGTGGTTGGAATGTGGAGTGTGTTGGGGATGGAAACTGGTTTAACTCCCAGTTTGGGAGGGTTTAGGGGAGTTAACTCTGGCACGAACTGGGATGAATGTGGATTGGGGTGGTTGGAATGTGGAGTGTGTTGGGGATGGAAACTGGTTTAACTCCCAGTTTGGGAGGGTTTAGGGGAGTTAACCCCAGCCTGAGCCAGGCTAAGTGTGGACTGGGGAGTTTGGGAGGAGCTCACAGTGTACTGGGGGTGGAAACTGGTTTAGTGCTGAGTTTGGGAGGGTTTAAGTGACTTTATCCCAGCCCAAACCAGACTAAAGGTGACCCAAGCTCAGCCCTGAGATGGGTTGGGGTAGTTTGAGAGGAGCTGAAAGTGTAATGGGGATTGAAACTGGTTTAACTCTGAGTTTGGGTTGGTTTAGGAGATTTTATCTCGGCCCAAACCAGGCTAAGTGTGGGTTGGGGTAGTTTGAGAGGAGCTGAAAGTGTAATGGGGATTGAAACTGGTTTAACTCTGAGTTTGGGCTGATTTAGGAGATTTTATCTCGGCCCAAACCAGGCTAAGTGTGGGTTGGGGTAGTTTGAGAGGAGCTGAAAGTGTAATGGGGATTGAAACTGGTTTAACTCTGAGTTTGGGTTGGTTTAGGAGATTTTATCTCGGCCCAAACCAGGCTAAGTGTGGGTTGGGGTATTTGAGAGGAGCTGAAAGTGTAATGGGGATTGAAACTGGTTTAACTCTGAGTTTGGGTTGGTTTAGGTGACCTGACCCAGTCCAAACCCCAATGTGATCCCAATCTATTCCTAACCCCAAATAAATGGGATTTAAGCCCATCCCAACCCTAAATATCCAGGATTTATCCCAGTCTAAACCTCAGACCCAAAGTAACTGGGATTTACCCCAATCCTGACCCAAAATAACTGGGATTTACCCCAAACAGATGTGTTCCACAGTGATTTAAGGATCTGATCCCACTTTTTTCCTCCCTCCATCCCAGGTTGCACTCCCTGCTCCAAAGGTTGGGTCTACTTTGCCAATTCCTGCTACTTCTTCTCCAAGAAGAGTGTGAATTCCTGGGCCAGTGCCCAGAGGTTCTGCTCCACCCTGGGCACAAACCTGCTCCAAGTGGACAGCAACGAGGAGAAGGTCAGGGGGGACAGGGATCCAGGTGCCCCCAGGGTGGGAATGGGGAGGGATATGGATCAGGTGCCCCCGGGATGGATCCAGGTACCCCAAGGGATGGATCCAGGTGCCCCAGGGGTGGGAATGAGGGGGATGGATCCAGGTGCCCCCAGGGATGGGGATGAGG